CTCCTTTTTTTTCCCCCAAAGCCCCAATAGATGGTTGTATGTCATAGTTGCACATCCTTCTAGTTGCTGTATGTGGGACGCGGCCTCAGCATGGCCAGAGAAGCTGCGCTCCCGGGATCCGAACCCGGGCTGCCAGTAGCGGAGCGCGTGCGCTTAACCGCTAAGCCACGGGGCTGGCCCTGAACTGGAGTATTTTAGATTAATTGGAACATAGAGCTCAAGGGGTTGTGGTGAGAGATGAGACTGGAGCGAGGGTAAGTAGGGACCAGATCATAAAATACTGCATCCATTTGAAAGCAGGTGTTATTTTATAATTTTTATAATTTGACTTGAATATTTTTAAATGAATGTAATTTTCTGTTTGAAAGCACTAAGGAGTATTTAGGAAAAACGTAGAATGAAGTAACTTAATGTTTCTAAAATATCTATTTAAATAATTTCCCTGAATTACATGTTGTAGATTTCCCTTTATTAAGATGTTACATGTTTCAAAGCACTCCCTAAGGCCTAATTTCTTACGTAAGGATGCTTAGCTTTTGGTCCAGTATCTGAAATTAAAATTTTTTTTTCTCAAATCTTTTTCTTAGTGTATAATGCTGTTGGATTAGCGGCTTATGAGCTGTTTGACAGTGTTGATTTTGATCAGTGGTTTAAAAACCAACTTCTTCCAGAATTACAAGTCATTCACAATAGGTAAGTACAAAACTCTCTGTTTATTATACACTTATTTTACCTTGTTGATAAAAGACATTAGAATTGCTTAAAATTAAAAAAAAGTCATAGTATGGCTTAGCTGATAGTGTCTAGTGTAGAAAGGAATAAGACTTGTGACTCTATAACTGAAAAGTAAGCAAAACTGTTTGTTGTTATGTTATTTTACTTCAAATGTGAATTGTGACATGTATGAAGTATTTGATGTTAGGTAAGATAGTTTGCAGTGGGAAATTTTATGCAAAGGCAAGGGAAGATGGAAGTCTTTGAATTATAGAAAGAAAATGTGTGCAAAAGAAAGCCAACTGGAGACTTAGCAGGGGCTCGTCTTGGTGTCAGAAGTAGCCTAACCGAAGTAACATCCACGAAAGCTGACTGCCTTGGGATCACACAAAGCATACTGCAAGTCTTTCGGGAGAGGGTAGAGTAGACTGTAGAGACACCATGGCGAAAAGCATTTGGACACACTTTAGGCTCCTGTTGAGGTGCCTAATTCAATAGTGCAGATCTGACATTTTGTCACACTCTTGCCCAATTCTTATGTTTCATATACATTTAAGTACTTGCCTAATTATTTTAACTTTAGGTACTGAATTAGTAAAATGGAAAGGAAAAGATCTTTCGTAGTTTTTATAAATTTTTTCGTAGTTTAAAGTAGAGACTTAAAAAATTGCAAGACTTTTTTCTTGTTTTGAATTGTGCAGTTCTGTTGATTTGTTTCTGTAGATGTGGTGCCTATAAGAACGGCCAGCATTGAGTCATAGATGAGCTAACATTTCTTGACTACATTAATGCATGAATAGAAGGCCATCCATATATGGATCATTTAATAAATATTTAGAGCCATAAAATTTTAGAGCTAGAGATGTTTTAAAAGTAATTTTGACCAGTAAGTAGCTATTTTATCCATTCACTTATTCAGTTATTCAATCATTTATTTGATCAACAAATATTTTCAACACTTGGAATTTGCCATGTTCTGTAGAGCCCGTGATGAATGAGATGGACTGTGCTTCTGCCTTCAGGGAGCTAGTGAGCTTTTGACAGAGAGAAAGCCTTCAGTAGGGAGACAGACGTATTGTTTTATTGTCCTTAAACCCTAGAGGCTATTTAGTCTACACCTATGCTATCTAGTACAGCACCTAGGACATATGGCTGTTGAGTACTTGAAATATACTTAGTGCAACTGAGGAAATGGCTTTAATTTTAACTAACTAAAATTTAAGTTTAAAAACTAAGGCAGTGTAAAATATGTATTGATTACACATTGAAAAGATAATATTTTGGATATATTGAGATAAATATTATTAAAATTTCACCTGTTTCTTTTTACTTATTTTAATATGGGTACTAACAAATGTAAAATTGCGAATTTGGTTTGCATTATATTTCTTTTGGACAGAGCTGATATAGACTGGTGTTTCTCAAACTTTAATGTGCATATGAATCACCTGGTGATCTTGTTAAAATACAGATTCTTTGGGTCAGATTGTGTGATTCTGTCACACTTCCAGGATAATGGTGCTACTGGTTTGGGGACCACACTTTGAGGAGCAAACTGACCCCTAATCTTAACTGCCCAGAAGTGACTGTGATTTTGGAATTTGACCTCTCTGAGCTTCATTCTCTTTGTCTGAAATAGAATGTTGAATGTGGTAATCCCAAAGATCTCCGTCTAAAATTGATGGTTTTGTGGTTCCTTCATTTACTCTGCACAAGTCTGGTTTATTTTTACATCTGTGACTTTGTTCAAATAATCCTTATCCCTTGAAATGGCATTTTTTCAATTTTCTGCCCAAAATACTGTTTATCTTCGAGGCTGTTCAAATCCCATCTCCCTCTGTCCACTCTTCTCTCTTCTTTTTCTGAAATCCTAGTAACTTTGTGTTCTTTAATTGTCTTAGGTGTGTTATAAACTTTTCGAGGGCAGGGAATACTCACACACATTTTTTGCAGCTTGAATGAACGGTTCTTTCTATGTACTTGATCATTTTATGAGATTGTAATTTTCTAAAAAATGTGGTATATTCGTTAGCTTATTTCTTTTATACCCAGAAATAAATAACATCTTGCCACTAAAATTTATAAAATATCAGGAAGAGACTTGGTGGGTAGAATTCTTGGACACAATTGTTTATATCTTTGTCGTTTTTCTCCTTGCCTAAAGAACCTTCATTTCCTTTAGCAAAGACCATAGAAAAAGAAATGTATGTACGTGTTACTGCAAATGTTTTATAACTTTTAAACTATAAATCATTATTTTTGATAATCTGAGTCACATTGTAATTGGATACCTTTTTCAAAATTAGAGCCACTAGCTGAAATCAGTGTAAATTTATATGAATATTTTATAAAAGTCTAGAAATCTCTCACAATGTTCCAAAAATAATCTTTATGAGATTAACAGAATTGGAATTGGAAAGTTGAATATAGGGACTCTTTTATTATTTTTGGGGCCGCCCTGCCTTAGGGTTTGAGACATTAGCTAGTTACATCTGTTTGGATTAACTGTTTTTGGTTATCTAGGAACAGAAATAGACTTGGTTTTTATGTACATATCTATGTTACAGTTCCGAAATACAAAATAATCAGATTTACAATATATCTGCCTAAGAATTTTCAGTTTTTTAGATCAGAACTTTATTGTTAGTATTTATATTGTGGTACATTTAGAAGTAGCTTTTAAACTTTCATACGAAAAATGTAGATTGCTTTCTTACTACATTTTAGATTTAAATGATGAAATATACTAAGTGAAATAGAATTCTTCAAATATTTAACATTTTAATTTCATGATTTTTTCCATCTAGGTATAAGCCATTGCGACGCAGGGTGATTTGGCTCATCGGTCAGTGGATTTCTGTGAAATTCAAGTCTGACTTAAGACCCATGTTATATGAGGCAATTTGTAACTTGCTTCAAGATCAAGACTTAGTGGTATGTTGCTTAAATGTCTTAAAAAAGTTATTTTGATAAGTTTAATCTATGTTAAACTTCAAATTCAGATGTGGTTTATGTTTTTCTTTACAACATTGGTGGCCTTTAACTGCTGCACTTATTCCTTGGTGAGCATTTTGATTTGAGGAAAGAAAGTCCTTTGATTATTATTTACCTTTCCCTTCACTAGTCATTGAAAAAAAATTTAACCAAACTCTGCTATTCTAAAATCATTTATAATTTTTTAGTAACAATAAAAGAAAACAATTTTTTAAAATCCTTTTGTAGCTTACATATTCTTTTTCTTATTCAGGATAGAATTTGTCATTCTTACATTTGAGATAGCACATAATCTATTTCACCCATTGTATTGATTCTTTCCTTGTCTCTCATTTTTGAGAGTTTTTTGTTTAGCCTTTGAAATTGTTTCTTTTAGGATTTTTTATGTATAGTGTTCACATAATATTCTTGATTTTGTGTTAGTGAAAACTTGATAATGGCTACTTTGTTGCTTTATTTTCCTTCAAAGCAGTAGGTTTGCTGCTTTATTTTATAGTTCAGTTACTCAAAGAGGTTTTTTTAAGAAGTGTAAAATATTGTGTAAAATATTTTTTTCCCCACTAGTGCTTTATTTTATGCCTAAGTGAATATATTCATGACTTAATATACATTTTCTTTGTCTTAGGCTTAGATTTGACTCCAGCATCCTCTTTAAAAAAGTGAATCTAGTTGTCTTTTTTCTGAGTTTCAAATTATTTTTTAGATAAAATTAAGTGATTTTTTTCCCTCTAAACTCTGCTAAGGATCTCATTTAATCATTTCTTACTACATCCTCTTTTTAAAAAATTTTGAACCCACCTGATTACTCTGTGTGGCTTGGGCCATAATTTTCTCGTTTTTACATGTGTGCCATGATAATATAAACTACTTTTAATTTTTTAAGGAAAACATAATTAGAAAGGTAAATCTATTATGGGAACATGGTACCTTCCAAAGGCAAATAGAACTGATCTTTGGATTTTCTACTTAAATATTATCTACTTTGTGTAAATAATTGAAAATTTACTCTAAATATCATTCTGTAATTATTAAATAATTTAAACATGAGAAGTTACAAGGAAATTCAGTTTTATTTTACCATGTTTAAATTCTTAGAAGTTCATTAATAAAACCTAGCTGTTTCTAAGCTTACTATTTGCTGAAATTAATTTACTTTTGTAATAGCTTTAGAATAAAGCATTTCTAAGATTTTAATTTTTGTTTTCCTAGTTGGAAATATTATTTGCTATTCTGTCGGGGGTATCAGAGAAGACATTAAATGCTTTATGAAAGTGTTACAAAAGATGTAAATTTCAATTACGTTTTCTTTGGGAGAAAGTGAAATTTCTTGGATCTTACATTTGTTTTTTAATGAGTCTATTAAGAGAGAAATGAAGAGAAAAATGAGTTATTTAGGTCAGCATTTTAAAAGGAGAACATTAATTCTATCACATATCAACAAGAATTATTGGAGAACAAGGGTTTAATGGCCAGGTAAGTTTGGAAAACACTCTACTAAATATTCAAATAGTCCCCTTTACTATAGGACTGATGAGAACCTTTAAAATGTACATTTGCCTTGTGACTCTTCAAGATGACAATACATTAATATCCAAGGAATACACTTTGAGGAAATGTTGCTGTAGGTTCAGCTTTTCCCCTTTTCCTGTACATCTTCTGGTGGCTACATCTCATGTTTACATCTTGTACAGTTGTTTTATCCTGCCACAATTCTTTTATTACTTCTTAAGAAGACAGTGTTTAGTAAGGCACTAAATCAATGTTGCTTACTTTGGGGCCGCCCCCCCCGTTTTTAAAGTACATTTAAGATCAAGAGTATACAAGATATACTGCTTTAATTTCAACCTGTGAAAAATGCTGGTTAATGAAATGTAGGAAAATACTTTCTACACACATACATATATGCAAGTGTACAAACATAGACATATGTACAAACATGGGCATTTATATGTGTGTATATATATATACACACACACACACACACCGCCCATACACACACGTACATGAATCTAAATCTTCTCTGGTTTTCAGAATCTACATTCTCTTACTTGAGTGCTGCTTTTATGGAGTTGGGATAGATTTAATCCTGAGCTACTGTAGTTGCCTGTGTGGCTTCTACTCTTACAGCCATGTTGTTTCCAAGACTGGGTATGACAGAGTAGAAATAGTGCAGCAACTGGAGAAAGCAACTTCTCCAGTTAGTGTAGGACTCCATAAATTTTATTATATTGGAAGCTGCTGGGTAGAGTACATCTCTATCTCTGCTAGTTGCATGACAGTTTAACATTACTGTTTGATCTGGGGGAATATAATGCAGATTGAGTGAAATTTTTTTGGTTTATTTGAAAGACTAACTTTTCCTCAGTGTTTAGCAGTTTGACTTATTAGTGTGAGATATCCAAATTTTATAAACTAAAAGTTGATCTAGGCATGAGCAAGCATTTATAATGTTGCAGTATTTGGAAACATTTTGTAATAAATGCTGGGGAAATTTGATTAGGTTTAAGGTAACTACTGCTTTGAAATTTTTTACTTTTAAGCTTATTTCTAACTCATCTTTCAAAAAGGGAGGCTTTTAATTTTTTACTTTTTAAAAGTTAAGAATTATATCAAGGAAAGAGAAAAATTCAGTGACTAACATAACAAACACCTGTGTGCTTACCACCCAGTTTTCCATATTTCTATTGTAATAATTTTCCATATATATTTCAAATATTTTATTAAAGAAATAAAACATTACACCTGCAGTTGAATCTCTCTCTTTCGACTCTCATTCTGTTATCTTTTTGTTGAGCAGAGGTTTTTAGTTTTTGTGCAGATTTATTGGTTTACTTTTTCTATTTTGTTCTTTCTCTTTCTTGTTTAATCTGTTTTCTTTACCCTTGGCTCTTTATTCCATCCAGAATTTATTTTTGAACATGGTGTGAAGATTCCATTTTTTATTGTTTTTTTAATAAAGACAACAATGCTACAATGCTTCATTGAAAAATCCATTAAAAAAAGTATCTTTGACATGCTCTGCTCCGTCCCTCTTAGAACATGTTACTTAGCAGATATAGGGCTTTTGGCACCTTTCAGGTTTGAGTGCTGCTATCACAGTGTAAACAGAATGACAAAATTTTGGGTGACGAACCTTCTTTTCCTAGGACCCCAGATGATTCTTTAACTAAAATGTTTGATTTATGTACTGGGCTTCTTTAGGTTGTAAGATTTCTGAGCCAATTATATTTTTCAATTTTGGAAATTACAAGGAACTTTCAAAGGAGTTTTCCTTAGGTTACTTATGCAACCTTCAATAAAACAAGCACTAAGCTGCTTAAAAATTAACATGTGTACTCTTTCAACCCGTGAGAGGCTGTATAAAACGTAAATTGTGGTACAACCAGAAGATTTATAGTTTAGGGGTGGGGTGTGCTGTGATTGTTGTCTGTCAAGCAAAGAAATTGCCATCTTCATGGGCAGATGGACTACTAGCTTTACTGTGTGGAATTGCCTTCAGTGCTATGGGCTGACTGTGGAAGTGGGCAGGCGTTAGGCTAGCCCAAGTGTAGAACTACATCAACATCGTGACCGTTATCCCAAGGCTCATTCTCATTGACGCTGGGCATGCAAGTGTCTGATGACTCTTACCTTTATAGCAGTCTTCTTTGGAAGTAGTGTTGACCTGTGGTTTCTTCTCGTTCATTCCCTTATTGCTCTAATGCTCTCTGGGATTCTTCCAACGTTTCTGATACCTTGATGGCACTTGTTTGCCTCAGTATGGAATTAGCTTGTTATCTTTTCAGGAGTTTTCTGAGGTTTCAGCTGGAGCTATAGGTTAGACTCACAGGCTGAGTTTACAGTCTGGATCCCATTCTGGATACTTAGGGTTTCATTCTCCTTCAGGAGGTCTGGATTTATTCTGTGAAAAGTCACCTTTCGAGTCTTGTTAAAGGAAGATTTTTGTTTTATTTTCTTGCATTTATTTATGAAGTATTTATTGAACAATTAGTATCCTAAGAATTGTGTTAGACTCTCTTCTATCAATCTCCTGTCACATTCCCTAGCTCTTCATTCTGTAAATTCAGGTTCTGATTTTTTTTCACTATTACTTATGAATTGCTGCAAAATTCGTTCTGTGGAAGCGATGTGGTAAATATTTCCTATTTCTTTTATAGCTCAGGAAGAGGTAGTTTTATTCTTATTTGTCATATTTTAAGTGCACCTCTGTTTTCTTAAACTCTGTGTGCTTTTTGTTTTCCCTTATGATCTGGCTTCCTATTCTTGTAGTTAATCTAGAGAGGAGGCAAGTCATTTCAATCCATTTTATCTTTTTCTCTGCATGTAATACTGCACAGACTTGCCTTTGTTAGGAGGGAAAACAGCTAGTTTTCGTTCAAGTGTCTCTTTTGTTTCCTATACTTATTTGCATAGATGTCATGCTTATGGGTCAAGTGTGTCTCTGGTTCTTGTTTTTTCTGGTTCTTTTGCAGAGGAAAATTGAGAGATTTAAGGATTAGTCTGCTGGCAATTTGATTTCCTTTTTGGGGGCTTTCATGTCTTGATGTTTGTGAATTAAGTTATTAACACGGTGCCAGTTGTATGCCTCACTCTGAGCTAAATGCTGACAATTTAAAGATGACTAGACATAGTCCATGTCCATCCTGTTCTTATGCTTTTCAAGTTAGCTATTTTTATTAATAATTATTTAATAGCTGGGTGTTTTTTTCCCCCTCCTGGATTGTAAACTTTCTAAGGGCAAGGGTAGGTGTGTCTTACTCAGCTTTTTTTTACAGCACCCACCACAATGCCTGGAAGATAATAGTTCCTTATTGAATATTTTTAATCACATGAGTATACCGTCTTATCATTAGGCCATTTCATAGTAGAACACTTGGCATAGTGCTTTGCATGTATTAGTCTGCAAATTTGTTAAATCATTTAAAAATCTGGAAGTGTTCACATTACCTTTAAAGGCAATGAATAAAAAGGAAATGGCAGGTGAGAAAACATCTGCACTATAGGGTCTTGGAATCTGTGGATTTGGCAGTGGAGTACTTAGCATTTGGTGAACATGCCTAATCAGCATGTCAGGTCATCAGAAGCTCCTGTAAAATGATTAAAACTGTTTCTTTGTGAAAAATGGCTGCAAAGACAAAACCAGTTGCTGTTACAGGTCTGGAAAGTGTAGCATCTAAGAAAGTAATGGCTCTTAGCCAGGAAATAAAAGTTTTAGGTATATTGTTTTACAAAGTAGAATATAGAGTTTAGTTATGGCTTGAGTTCGTGTTATTTTATGTGGAAACTATGAGTGTGGAAGCCCGTGCCAATGTAGCTGATCAAGTCACAGGTAAAACTTGAAAAAAAATAAGGAGATTATGCTGTCATGATATGATTTGCCCAGGTGACATGCTGACATACAGAGAAGATAGGGTTTGGGGAGGTCAAGAGCTTGTGCAAACCTTTCTCTATTTGTGAACTTTGGGATTTAGAAAATCTCAGACTATATCTTTTGGATATTTCAAAGATTACCTGTTCAGTTATGGATGGGAATTTCTGTTCTTTTTTTTTTTTTTTTTTTGTGAGGAGATCAGCCCTGTGCTAACATCTGCCAATCCTCCTCTTTTTTTGCTGAGGAAGACTGGCCCTGGGCT